GTATTGTTCTAATTTTAGCATATGTGCTGCTGAAGCGAACACTACTTTACTTTTTTTATTAGAACAATCGTTTCTTGTCTGTATCTCTCCCTAGAGCACTGGTGTTCCATATGGCAGCCACATATAGATATTCACGCTTAAATCAATTAAAGTGAAATAAAAGTAAAAACGTCATCCCTCAGTTGTCCTAGCCACTTTTCAAGTTAGCGTCGATAGAGAACATTTCCATCTCTGGGAAAGTTCTAGACTGTTGCTCTAGGACATCAGTTTTCAGAGGACAGGGGATTTGGTTTGAACACAGGGTCCGGGACAGAGCAGGCACTCAGTAATTGCTTGCTAAGGGAATGAAGGTGGCAGCTGGCCCTCCTGAGGTAGCTGAGGCCTGTCCCTGGGGTGACCCCACGGATGGCAAAGGGGCTTGTGGATGGCAGGGCCTGTGGCTGGATGATGGCCCTGCACGTGTGTGCACACGCACAGGGCTGCCAGGCGGCGGGACGCATGAGCCCCGCCAGGTGCCCTGCGCTGCTGACACCTGCCCACGGACTGGCGGTGACTCAGTCACTCGCTGGTACTGCATTTATTTTTGGCTTCATTAGCATTTCTTCTGCAAGCGGCGGGTGGGTAGGCGCCTGGGTCTCCCCAGCACTGCCCACCAATCTCCGTCCTGCTGCCACTGGCTTCATTGTGGACCCCAGGATCCAGAAAAGTATAAGACAGACCCAGCCTCAGCCCAGGTGCAGCTCCAACCCCCATTTACTTAGTGTTCCTGTGTGGTCGCCCTCCCACCTCTCTGACTGCCCCTTCTCTATTTATTTGGCCATTGAACTTCTTCCCTTCTGATCGTCTTTCCAGGGTTGATCCCCACATAGCCCCTCTCTTCTCTCACCACCACCCTAAGATTATTACTATTTTTTTTTTGAGACGGAGTCTTGCTGTGTCCCCCAGGCTGGAGTGCAGTTGCATGATCATAGCTCACTGCAGCCACAACCTCCCAGGGTCAAGTGGTTCTCCCATCTCAGCACCCCTGAGTAGCTGGGACCACAGGTATGCACCATGCTAATTTTAAAATTTGTTTTGTAGAGACGGGGTCTCACTATGTTGCCGAGGCTGGTCTCCAACTCAGAGCCCTGCTGAGGGCTCAAGTGATCCTCCTGCCTCAGCCTCCCAAAGTGTTGGAATTACAGGCATGAGCCATCACGCCCAGCCTCATGTACTTTTTTATGCCAATGAACTAAGCATTTCACAACCTAGTGACTGAGACAGAAGCCCTGTTTTCCAGCCAGGTGCGGTGGCTCTCGCCTGTAATCCCAGCACTTCAGGAGGCTGAGGCGGGCGGATCACTTGAGTCAGGAGCTCAAGACCAATCTGGTCAACATGGTGAAACCCCATCTCTACTAAAAGTACAAAAATTAGCCAGGGAGCCAGGCGTGGTTGCTCACGCCTGTAATCCCAGCACTTTGGGAGGCGGAGGTGGGCAGATCACGAGATCAGGAGATCGAGACCACGGTGAAACTCCATCTCTACTAAAAACACCAAAAAAAAAAATTAGCCGGGCACGGTGGCGGGCACCTGTAGTCCCAGCTACTCGGGAGGCTGAGGCAGGAGAATGGCGTGAACCCGGGAGGCAGAGCTTGCAGTGAGCCGAGATCTCACCACTGCACTCCAGCCTGGGTGACAGAGCAAGACTCTGTCTCAAATAAATAAATAAATAAATAAAATAACAAAAAATAAAAATACAGAAAATCAGCTGGGCGTGGTGGTGGGCGCCTGTAGTCCCAGCTACTCAGGAAGCTGAGGCAGGAGAATGGCGTGAACCCGGGAGGCAGAGCTTGCAGTGAGCCGAGATCTCACCACTGCACTCCAGCCTGGGTGACAGAGCAAGACTCTGTCTCAAATAAATAAATAAATAAATAAAATAACAAAAAATAAAAATACAGAAAATCAGCTGGGCGTGGTGGTGGGCGCCTGTAGTCCCAGCTACTCAGGAAGCTGAGGCAGGAGAATGGCGTGAACCGGGGAAGCGGCGCTTGCAGTGAGCCAAGATCGCGCCACTGCACTCCAGTCTGGGTGACACAGCGAGACTCCGTTTCAAAGAAAAAAAAAAAAAAGAAAGAAAGAAAAATTAGACAGGCATGGTGATGCATGCCTACAATCCCAGCATCCCAGCTACTCAGGAGGTTGAGGCATGAAAATCACTGGAACTTGGGAGGCGGAGGTTGCAGTGACCTGAGATCACTACTGTACTCTAGCCTGGGAGACAGAGCAGGACACTATCTCAAAAAAAATAAAAGAAGCCCTGTGTTCACACAACCTGGATTCAAACCCCAGGCTTGACACTCCCTTAGTTGCATGACTGCACAAGGTACTTGACCTCTCTGTGTCTGTCTCCCTATCTGCAAAGTGAGGATCACACTGGAGCTTTTCCCATAAGGACATTAAAAGGATTAACCAAGATAACTCCAGTAAAGTGCTTTGAATAAGCCAAGCACACTGGCAGTAACCCATAAATGTCAGCCTTTATGGATACAAGCGGCCCTGCCCCTGGGTCGGCCTGCCTCCGGGACATCTAAGAAAAAAAGATCTGCCAGGTGCTATGGCTCACGTCTGTAATCCCAACACTTTGGGAGGCCAAGGTGAGAGGATCACTTGAGCCCAGGAGTTTGAGACCAGCCTGGATAACATAGGGAGACCCCATCTCTTCACACACAACCACACACACACACACACACACACACACACACACACACACAGAGCTGGGTGTGGTGGTTGCATGCCTGTAGTCCAAGCTACTGAGGAGGCTGATGTGGGAGGATCACGTGAGCCTGGGTGCAGTGAACTATGGCTGCCCCACTGCACTCCAGCCTGAGCAACAGACCAAGATCCTGTCTGGAAAAAATAAAAAGAAAAAAAAGCAAAATAAAATAGATCCCACCCCAACACAGCCCAGAGGTGACAGGCTGGATGATGAAACCTACATCAGCTATTTCCATCATCATGACACTTTGCCTTCAAAAAAAGGGGCACCAACTTGGGCAACATGGCAAAACTCTGTCTCTACAAAAAATACAAAAATTAGCCAGGCCTGGTGGTGCACACCTGGTCCCAGCTACTTGGGAGCCTGAGGCAGGAAGATCACCTGAGCCTAGGGAGGTCAAGGCTGCACTGAGCCATGATCCTGCCATTGCACTCAAGCCTAGGTGACAGAGTGAGACCCTTTCAAAAAAAAAGGCAGGGGCAGGGGGTTGCGGTAGTTAAACGCCAAATGGTGTTAATAAAAGTGCGCAACTCGACCGGGTGCCATGGCTCACGCCTGTAATCCCAGCACTTTGGGAGGCCGAGGTAGGTGGATCACCTGAGGTCAGGAGTTTGAGACCAGCCTGGCCAACATGGTGAAACCCCCTGTCTCTATTAAAAATACAAAAATTAGCCAGGCATGGTAGTGGGAGCCTGTAATACCATCTAATCAGAAGGCTGAGGCAGGAGAATCACTTGAACCTGGAAGGTGGAGGTTGCAGTGCGCCGAGATCACACCACTGCACTCCAGGCTGGATGACAGAGTGAGACTCAGTCTGAAAAAACAAACAACAACAAAAAAGTGTGCAACTCAGAAAAAAAGACTTATTAATTAGCTGCTTGTTTTGTTTTGTTAGTTTGATTTGAGGCAGGGTCTCGTGGTGGAGCTATCATAGCTCACTGCAGCTTGGCTAATTTCTTTTTATTTTTAGTAGAGATGGTGTCTTGCTATGTTGCCCAGCCTGGTCTTAAACTCTTGAGCTCAAGTGATTCTCCCACCTCAGCCTCCCAAAGGGCTAGGATGACAGGCATGAGCCATTGCATGCAGCCACTTTTTCATTTGTTTGTTTTTAAATTTCATTTGGCCAAAAAACTCAGCTTCATCTGGCAGGACCTAAGAAGGGCTGGAATTTGCAGACTGAGCTGAGGCCGACCTGGCCCCAGGGAGAACAGGGCAGCTGATTTCTCTGGACGCTGCTGGCCACAGAGTAGTTAAGACTCAGGCTGACTTGGGCTCCAGTTGAGGTTTGACCACCGATTAGCCAAGTGGAGTTGTACCTTCCTGAGCTTCGGTTTGCTATCTGTAGAATGGGGGTGATCCTCGCCCCTTGTGTGCCTTCCCAGCACCCACTTTCCCTGTGGCTTGAGGCCCCCCATGAGTCAAATCACTGAATTCCAGTTCCCATTCACATTTGTCCAGGAAACCGTCCCTGCCACGCCTCCTCCCTCTGGCCTCGCCTGGGAGGCGTCTGTGTCCTGCTCTGTCTTCCCCAGACTCAGGGAATCCTGGAAAGCCAGCCCCTGGGCGTCACACCACTGTCCAGCACAAAGCAGATGTAGACATGGCTTGTAACTGAACTCATGCCCTAAATCAGACTCTACTCAATGCCTCGCCACTCCCATATTTTGTTTTTGTTTTTATTCTGTTTGAGATGGAGTCTCACTCTGTCACCCAGGCTGGAGTGCAGTGGTGCGATCTGGGCTCACCGCAACCTCCGCCTCCCGGGTTCAAGCGATTCTCATGCCTCAGCTTCCCCAGTAACTGGGATTACAGGTGTGTGCTAACACACCTGGCTAATTTTTATATTTTTAGTAGAGACAGAGTTTCGCCATGTTGGCCAGGCCGGTCTTGAACTCCCGACCTCAAGTGATCTGCCCATCTCGGCTTCCCAAAGTGCTGGGATTACAGGTGTGAGGCACCGCACCTGGCCACTCACCACTCTCAAATTTTGTTCCTTGGGATGTATGCTCTGTGTCCAAAATTGTTCAAGTGCTACTTCATCTCCTGGCCTTTGCCAGTACTCGTTCCTCTGCCAGGAATGTCATTTCTGAAATTCAACTCCACCCGATAAGCTCCTACCTCCAGCGTCATGCCCCACTAGAAAGCTTCCAGATCCTCAGGGACAACCATTCCTCTCTGCTCTGGGCTCCCCCAGCCCCTGCCCCCCAAGCCCTGACCATTCAGAGTCCTGGGACTCTGTACTCACCCTCCTCCGCACCCTCATTCGTAGGGGTCCCTGACAGGGCTGGCTCCTCTCCACTTGCCACCTCCTCCCAGAAGCTCTCTATGCCTGGACTCCCTGCCAGGACCTCCAGTTTGAAGTCCTCTATGCCCAGGGTGACAGGCAGCAGGGTGCTGGAGGGGTCCCACGGTACCGTAGGCTCCCCTGAGGAAACTAAGGCAGACTCGCCCACGCTGGCTGCAGTCGGTGTCCCAGGAGGAACAGCCGGTTTCCCCAGGGGGCTGCTCTGATGAGGAGGCGCTGAAGTTCCTGATGTTCCCTGGGTCTCCACCTGATCCTCTGGCTCTGGGTGGGGTTGGGAGCTTGAGGAGGCCAGTGTAGACACGGCTGGAACTCCAACCTTGTCCCCCTGCTCGGTCGTGAGGGACGTCACAACGCTTGTATCCAGGGCCACCTGAGGGCTCAAGGTGGTGCTTTCAGCTTCTTCAAACGACTGGGATCCAGGTTCCCAAATTCCACTAGCATCACTGGGGGCTGGCGTGACTGTGGAATCCTTGGGATTCACAGTGGGTCCTTCATCTGTAGCAACCCAAGGCTCCAAACTCGGGGTGACTTTGGGTACCAAGAAGAGTCCAGGGCTTCCCGAGGGGGCAGATGGGGAGCTTGCACCCGGACCTTTGCTGTACACTGAGGGCCAGGGGTCCTGTACCTCATCTACAGTGGCCTGCAAGCCAGAAGTGGGGCTTTCTGCTGTGTCGAAGACCCCAGACTCAGACCCCGAGATGCCCCTGAGGCCCGTTAGCTCCGTGGCAGTCTCAGTGGGGACAAAACCTACAGCCACATTCCTGTTTACAGAAGGCCATGGGCTGGAGCTGGGGTGTTCAACTTTGTGGACCTGAGCAAGGCTGGTCTCCCCAATTTCTCTGAAGTCTGCCCTGGGGGACTCAGGTGTTGTGGGCATGGCCTCTCCACCCTGTCCTGTCGGGGTCGAAAAGGGAGGCAGGGAATACACCTTGGTCTCTGCAGCAGGGGAAGGTGGAGCCGTGGCCGTGGCCTCACCATGTCCCTCAACTCTACTGGCCTCAGTGGAGACGGAGGTGGGGTGTGGTAGCATCCACTGTTTGGGACCACGCAGCATGGCCATCATAGGGAGATCTGGGGAGGTGGCCAAGGGGGATGCCTCCCAGGGGGCAGGGCTGGGAGCTGAGACGGTGGCCTCCAAGGGGGACCAAAACAGGTCTGGGGTGGCTGGCCTGGCACTGGGGCCCTCGGCTTTCTCTAACTCCGGGACAGGGGCCCTGCTGTGGCCTGAGATGCTGGGTGGGACCATGGTCGGGGGCCACAGCCAGGGCTCTGGGGAGCTCTTGCCACCAGCAGAACCTGCAACAACATCAAGGCAGTCATTATAATGATCTCTCAGCAGCCCCTTTGGTGGGACTCCAGGCCCAATGGAGAGGGGGCTTCTGGGGCCAGAGTACCCACCTGGGATTCAGAGCTTCCTCCCTCATCCTGAGTGTAGCCATGGCTACTTCTCCACCCTCACCTCCAGATCCCCAGGTAGGTCCCGCCTCCCCCAGAGCAACTCACCAGCTCCAGGCATATCCACCTCATTGGTCAGATCAGCCCAGGGGCTCTGGCTGTGGCCACCGCCCAACATCTCTGTGACTGCCATGGCCAGCGGAGGCTCCACTTGGTTCCCCACAGCCCCTGAGGTTGGGGGCTGGGCGCTGGCCTCCATCCCCTCTTGCAGCCCTGGCTCCGGGTCCTGCTGCTGGAAGTAGCGCCCATTCAACCCTTTGAAGCGCCCCCTCCTCCTAGCCGTAGGGTCAGTTGGGGCCACCTCCGTGTGTGAACTTGCTGTAGTGCCTGCCCCCATGTCACTAGGGCTGGGGGCCACTGTGCTTAGCCACACTTCCCCAGTGGGCCATGAGGCCAGCATGGGGTCCCCAGGGGTAGGGCTGAGTGTCTGTTGAGATTCCTGCTTCTCCGCCAAGATCAGGGGTTCTTCTTCCCCACTGGACACCAGAGGCTCCTGGAAGTCAGGGGTGACCACCTCTTCCTCCTCCAGGGTGGGCTCCAGTTCTCTAACTGGGGGCCCCTCTGCTGACAGAATCTCCCCCTCATCCCCAGAGGATGGGGTCTCTAGGTCTCCATGTTGTGATGTGGGGTGATGAGCTGTGGGAGAAAGCAGAAGAGGTTGTGTTAGGCCCAGGGGTGGCCTGGGAAGTTCTGCTTGAAGTCTACCCACTTTCCGGCATGCTGCAGCACAAGCCTCCTGTGCACCTCTGTCTCTCCTAAGTGGTTTCTGAGATTCCTCCAGCCTGAGAGAGGGAAGTGCAAAGTCTTCACCTCCACTGTTGAGGCTGGGGACCACCTGAGCCACGGTCAGGGTCAGAGTCAACTGGCTGCAGTGAGGGCTATAAGAATTTGGGCCAGGCGCGGTGGCTCACGTCCGTAATCCCAGCACTTTGGGAGGCCAAGGCGGGTGGATAACTTGAGGTCAGGAGTTCAAGACCAGCCTGGCCAACATGGTGAAACCCCGTCTCTACTAAAAATACAAAAATTAGTTTGGCGTGGTGGCGCATTCCTGTCCCAGCTACTCGGGAGGCGGAGGCAGGAGAATCGCTTGAACACGGGAGGCGGAGGTTGCAGTGAGCCGGAGGTTGCAGTGAGCCGAGATCGCACCACTGCACTCCAGCCTGGGTGACAGAGTGAGCCTCCATCTCAAAAGGAAAAAAAAAAACAAAACAATTTGGCTCATGGGCAAAGCTCAGGCAGCGTCCAACTCTCATGAACTTGGGTCGGCCTGTTGAGGGGTTCAACTCAACTTTGATGACGGATCCTCTCCTGGTACAAGTGGTGCCCAGTGGGCATGGTATGCCCGTGCCAAGATTGGGGCAGCTTACTTAGAGGACTTGACTCCTTTGGGGTGATGCTTGCAGCTTCCAAAGCTGTCCCCACTGTCCCCCAACAAGGGCAAGTGTCATCCCTGCTCCCACCCCCGGTGTGGAGCCCAGAGGTGGCCAATTGAGGCATAATCTCTTCCACGGGGGTGTGTATGTGTATGGGCGTGTCTCTAGGTAGAATATGCCCCACCCAAGGGCTTGTCTTTCAGGGTTATGGGGCCTCCGGACCTCAGGAGATACAGCCCACCCAGCAAAGATGATTCCCCACCAGAGTGGCCTCCTCTGGAGCCCTGTTCTTTCCCTAGGACCGGGCTCCTAGGGAAAGATTTGTCGTAAGGGGTGTGGCCTTCGCCCGGGGGCGTGGCCCTCACCCAGAGACGTGGCCCTCACCCAGGGACGTGGCTTATCACAAAGTGAGCTTCCACGTGTCTCTGCCTTGGCTTGGCGAGGCTTTCAGGGGCGTGGCCTTCGCCAAAGTGAAAGCCCTGGGGGAGCGGCCACCAGGGGACGCACGCACCTCGGAAGCAGTAGGCGTCGAAGCGCGCGGCGGGCGAAGGAAAGCCAGTCCGGTTAGCGAAGCGGTAGACGGTGCGCACGCCCGGGGCTGGGCCCCCGCAGCGCCGGCGCGGCGTCTGGATCGGGTAGCGCACGCTGCCGTCGGCCAGCCAGCCCGGGTCGCACTGGTCCAGGCCCTCATGCCAGGCCAGGTGCAGCTGTCCCACCGAGGCCAGCGCGGCACCCTGGCGGCGGCACTGTGCACGCGCGCCAGCCAGTGTCAGGCGGCGGGCCGGGCCCACGTAGAAGACCTCTCCTGCGGGAAGGGCGGGTGGAGGTCAGGGGGGCTGGGGAACCCTCCCCTGGAGCCCAGGAAGTGGGTCCAACTCCAAATAGTCCCGACCTGGATGTTAGGGTGGTGTTTAAAAGAGACGGTGACAACCGCAGCTCTGCGTCCAGCTCCGGGACCATCGTTGTCCTTACCTCTCATGCAGAGCTAAGTCTCTTTTTACAAATGGAGTAACTCAGGCACATGGGCAAGTCGGGCTTCAGGAGAGGGAGGGGCTCGGTGAAGGGGGCTCACAGAGGAGGAAGCGGGTAGGGACAGGGAGGCAGGCAGGGGACAGGAGATCAGAGAGGGAAAGAGGATCAGAGAGAGGAAGGGGGCAAAGGGAGGGAGGGGGACTCAGGGAAGCATGGAAAGCTCAGAAAATGGGTGGGATCATGTCTTGGTTGCAGGTTTAGAGAGGTATAAGACAGGAGACTTGCATAAGGACCCGGGAGGATGGGAATTGGGGAGAACGATAGAGGCTCAAGGAGAGGCGGAGGGGCCGGGTCCTGCCAGTCCCAGACTTACCCCCTAGCTCCCGGGCAAAGCAATACACATCGTAGAGTTCCTGTGGGTTGCGCCTCCCATAGCTCCGAACCCCTGGAAGGCTGCTACGGTCACCATAGCAACCAGGACGGGACTGGGTGATAGGATACCTGACAACACAAGGGGAGGGTCCCTCTCAGATGTGTACTCCTGGAGCCCCCAAGGAACCTCCTTCCCCATGGGCTAGTCTTCATCTCCCTGCCCTGTGTATCCCCCTCACCGAACAGTGCGGTCAGAGAGCCAGCCGGCATCACAGTTGTCAAAGCCATCCTCGAAGGCAGCCTGTAGATGCCGAGGGGCTGCAATGATGGCTGAGCTGAGATGGCAGGCCTCCTGGGCCTCAGCGAAGGTCAGTGCATAGCGGTCCTGGGCTGCCCGGTAGTGGAACACAACACCTGTGGGGGAACATCCAGGATGGGGGGGCAGTCGACTTATGCTGGAATCTTCAAGAACAGACCTACCTCTTGCAGAATGACTCCCCACTCCTGTCTGATAATAATAGACCCACATACAGTGTGGGTCGAGGGTGGGGAGCAAGATCCATATGCTCCCATTTTACAGATGAGGAAACTGGTAACAATGGCCATAAAGGGTTACAAGTTAGCAAATATTTACAATGTGAAAAGCATTTACAGCCGGGTGTGGTGGCTCACTTCTGTAATCCCAGCACTTTGGGAGGCCAAGGTGGGCGGATCACTTCAGGTCAGGAATTCGAGACTAGCCTGGCTAACATGGTGAAACCCTGTCTCTACTGAAAATACAAAAAATAGCTGGGCGTGGTGGCACACGCCTGTAATCCCAGCTACTCAGGAGGCTGAGGCAGGAGAATCGCTTGAACCCAGGAGGCAGACGTTGCAGTGAGCCGGGATTGAGCCACTGCACTCCAGCCTGGGAGACAGAACAAGACTTCATCTCAAATAAATAAATAAATAAAACATTTTTAAAAAGAAAAGCATTTGTAAGCATTATCTTATTGAACTCTTACAACAAACCTGATTGCTTCCAGAGGAGGAAACTAAGGGTCAGAAAGGTTGAGGGACAGGTCCAGGGCCACGTAGCAAATAAGAAGCAGGACCAGAATTCAAATTCAGAGAGCTCTGACTCCAAAGATAGCACTCTTCATGCCCAGGGTTAGGCCCTGGAGGTGGCAGGAGGTGTGGAGAAGGCTGACAGAGAGATTCTGCCTTTTAGGAATTAAGTGCATGCGCTGATAGGGAAGTGTAGGCAGCAATGGAAGATCAAATGTGGTTCTTGCCTGGCCTGGAAATGTGGTCCTGGAAGGCTTCTTGGAGGAGGTGACATGTAAGCCAGGATATGAAGCACCAGTAACAGGCTCACTGTGATTCAAATTCTGATTTAGGGATGAAAGAAATGGCTGAACAAGACAAAGAAATGAAACGCCTTGTTCCGTCATATCCTACTGACAGCCCTTGTGTCCTCAGCATTGGACCAGTACAGAATAGGTGCTCAATAAATGTTTGGCTGAATGTCCGGGCACAGCAGCTCATGCCTGTAATCCCAGCACTTTGGAAGACCGAGGCTGGCAGATCACTTGAGGCTAGGAGTTGGAGACCAGCCTGGCCAACATGGTGAAACCCTGTCTCTACTAAAAATACAAAAATTAGCCAGGTGTGGTTATGTGCACCTGTAATCCCAGCTACTCCAGAGGCTGAAGCAGGAGAATCACTTGAACCCACGAGGCAGAGGTTGCAGTGAGCCAAGATCGTATCACTGAACTCCAGCCTGGGTGAAAGAGTGAGAATCTGTCTCAAACAACAACGAAAAGAGTTTGGCTGAATGAATGAAATTGAAGTCGCCTAGATGTGGAATTCACTTGCCTCACCCCCAATCAGTTTGTTGTTGTTGTTGTTGTTAGCTTTTATCAATTTTCAGAAATAAGACCTTTGAAAGGGGATGATTTGTTGACCCCATAAACTATATGGTGAGACACTGTGTCCCTAGTTCACAGTTTGGGGGTATGCAGGTTAAGACCCAAGACAGGAATCAGGGACTTGTCCAAGGTCAATGTAAGTTAAGGGAAACAGATTTCCCAGCAGGAGTCCACAGGATGTTTGCTGTGCAACAATCCATTCACTGAGTCATTTATTGAGCATCTACTGT